GATAACATCTATCTACTCTCAAGTTGTTTCTAAAATGAAATCCATTTGTTTTAGTCATTAGCCAGAGGTCGTTTAACAAAACATTTTCGTTTCGCCGCTTTTCCGAGGCTCTGAGAGCCGTTAGTCGATGGAACCTTGAGAATTTTATTACCTGTGAGCAACTTTTCAAGCTCTATCAAATGTCTAATTCAGATTTCGTTGGAAATGTTTTGTTAAACGGCCCATTCGTAGGCGAGATTTTTGCAAAAAAAACACTTTTCGACGCCGCGCTGAACTCCATCGAATGATTTTCAGAAACAAAATATGAATTCCTACACAACTCGACACGGACTACTAAACTAGCATAGTGAACTTTTGCTGGCATTTTAGTCGTGTAAAAAGTAGGCGTAGATGCGTGGAAGTACTCTGAGAAAATGAAACTAAACGTTTATTCCTCCCAACGCTTTACTTGATTTAAGCTTTATTTATTTTAAGTGAGTTCAATCGTATAGAAATACATTATAGCTCTCACTAAACGCTTTTCTTTTCCCACATGTTGTGAATCAAATGTACGGTGAGTCCACGTAGAAGCGACATTTCTTGAAGTTCTTTCATAAAATTATATATATTGACTTTCCTATTTTTAAAATGCTTTTATTAGAAACATGAACTTGTACAACAAGCTCGGGACAAACTTATCAAAAAGAAAAAGGTTTTTGAAAAAAAACACGATTTAAAAACAAAAACAAATTGAACTACTAATTTTTTCAAACAAAATGATTCATTTTAGACGCCGAAAGATCAATCAATCTCCAAGCTGCATTAGGATCAAGAATGGTTAAATCACGTCCCAAAGCGAAGATATAATTGACACGATTGATTTGTTCCTAAAACCAATTAAAACGGAAACGTAACTGACAAAACACTTAATTATGCACAATCAAACACGTACCGGATCTCCTTCTATTATTTTTCCTGTCGGATCACTAATATACGCTATTTGTTGTGCTTGAAATGTCACGACTAGCACCGGTACTTCCATCATTTTTGCTGCAACGAGCTAAAAATTGAGAAATACACCCATGCATAAAACTCTGTAACCAAGCGTGAACAATAGAGTGATTTAATCTTGTTAAATCAACTTACAAAAAGAAATTAGTCACGGAAATCAACACACAACAATTACTTACCTCAACATCGCCGAGATCAATAATTTTCAAAGAATATTTATAACCTAATGCTTTTGAAGTTGTTATAGGATTAATCAAAACATTGTAGACCTGAAAATACATATTATCTTAGATTTAAGAACAAACTTTAACTCTAAATAATCACTTACTGCTTCAGTACACCAATCACGCAAAATTTCTAATTCACCTCTGGCTAATGACTAAAACAAATGGATTTCATTTTAGAAACAACTTGAGAGTAGATAGATGTTATCTCAAATGTCTAATTAAAACTATCTGTTTCCTTGACAGATGAACGCGAATGCTTTAAAACACAATCAAGAGTGATATGAACTATTTCCGATGGTAAAAATCAACGTAGAATTCGAACAGAAATCAAGATTTGTATATTTCTAACATCGAGAAAAAAATGGTCTAAAATGTTATTCTATTGACAGCTATGTGTTATTATGACCTTCAAGCAATAACTCAGAAAGAATCGTTCGCCAAACCGCTTTTTCGAATTTTATAGTGGTTTACAATATATACAAGAAATACAAAACACGAAAATGCTTTCTTTTTTCCCGTTTTTATTTTTTATTACGATGGTATTTTACCTCAAAAATGTTTGGTATAATATCATATTGAACTATTCTTAAAAATTGGACTACATCAAATGTTGGATCAATACGACAGATTTCAGTTAATGTTTCGGATGTTTCTGACTGACTAAATACGGACGCTAAGTAGAGAAATGGATAAAATAAAAACAAGATATTTTTTCTTTGAAATATGCTACGTACTTAGTGCATCTGATACTTTTTCTGTTAATGAACGAGCAACACGAATAACAAAATTATCGCTCTCGTCATACTTTGTTTTCAGTTCAAATAATTCTATAAAAATCAAAAAGTGAATAAAGGGGAATAAATAAATGTACACAAGAAAACTGAATAAACTTACTGTGTACATAGGCATTATTATCTTTAAAATTTTGCCAACTTTGAAACCATTGTGAATCTTTATGCACAACAACTGATTGAGCTTCTCTAAATGAGAGCACAAATAATCTTTTTTTCATGAGAACGAAATCAACTATGGTACATACGTATTGGCATAAAAGACTTTTTCTTTCTTTAACAAATCTGTTTCTGATCGTTTGCGTAGTACTTTTGGAGGACGATAACCTAAGGGTCGCGTCAATTTTGTAGCGTCACCAACTTCTTCTTTAATTGTGCTTAGCCTCTACATAAATAAGTTTTCTTAGTCAAAGATACGAACAATATATTTATTATCTCTATACCTCAGATACTTTTTTAAATGTAGCCGTATCTGTTATATGTTCAGTTGTTTCCGATATTTTGTCAGCTGCTTTTTGAGCTTGTTTTCCAACTTCTTGACCAAGTTCAGATGCTTTTTTCATGACATCACTCTAAAACAAATGTAAAATAGCGCTATCTCAATCATATACTTGTAGTATTTTTATATCAAAAACAAACTTCTTTGACTTTTTCTGTTATCTCATCAAATTTTTCACGAATAACTGTTGAACTTTTCATTGTTTCACGTTCGAGTGTTTTCTAAATTGAATTAGTTGTGAAAATAATCGAAATTTCAAATCAAACGAACTCTTACATATTTAGCGCGTGCCTCTTGTAATGCAGTTGAATCTTCTAGCTTTTTTGCTTGTTCTCTAAACTTTTTAATATTATCCTAAATAAATAAAAATGACAGAATATACTAGTTTCATAAAAATATTTCGTGCTCTACCGTTATATCTTTATTTTTACTAAATTCTTCTTTTATTTCGTCAATTAATTTTGACAGAAAACCTTTTGGTTGTTGAGCGTTGCCACGTATCTAAAATGAAGAACAAACTGATTGAAAGACACTTGTAATCGAAGAAAAGGCATGACTGTAGCTAAAGTAGCCAATTTAAACAGGGTGGCTACTTTATTACCTGCATGTATAATGGATTACAAGCAAGTTTATTTGATTGTACGAGAAGAGTGTGATTCAAGGTTAAAAAGTGAGTTTGTTGCTGTGATGTAAGTGAATTTCCTATTGGTCTTGGACATGATTGTTGGATTGAATACGAACGGCTTGATGATGGATTTTTTGCTAAAAGCTAAGTAAACGAAAAACGGGTTTGTTAAAAAAAAGAAAAAGGAAACAAACTGCTAGTACATACCAATAAATTTGGGGCGCAAGCTTTCGCTGTTGTTAAAACTTTTGCCATTTTAGAAATGTTTTTTATATTATTCATTCATACTAAAAAACGAAATAAATCCCCGTGAATTCTTATCCGATTCAGTACACATAAGATAAATTTCTACTAATAAAGAAATAATAATATAGTAGTAACGGTCATTACGAACAGTGACGCTTGCTGGAGAGTGTAGAGACAGACGAAAATAGTCACTCATAGTATTTTTTAAACAGACAAATATCAAAATGTACGTGTGATGTACTGATTTAGTAGCTTTTTATACCTAGGCAGTACGTACTGTCAAAAAATTAAATCGAAAGTTACTGAACAAAAGTTAGTCTAGTTTTGATCTCTTCTTGAACTGTGCGTTCCATCTACCGCTCATACATTAGTTAGAATCTATAATTCGTTTGCTCAAGGCAAGCTTTAAAGTTTGGTTGTGAGAAAAGTCTACTGCAACGCCTGATGACTCACCTAGTCAAGCATTGCCCAATTTCAGACGAATACCAAGAAAAGAGATGTCCCTACTTCTTGGGGCATAAGTTGAATAAACGAACCAAGATATCAGACTGAAACATTGTTGAACACAGATCGGTAGAATCCGAAAAAAATAATGAGTAAAAAGACCTCAGCGTCACCAGTTTCATTCAGGTCTGATGGTGTCAGGTAATGTTTTACTTCTCAAAGAGATTGAGATACAATATAGGTAAGCAATATAGGGCTTACTTATATTGTATCTGATTCTTGTACGACTCTTTATGTCAATTGACAGAATGTTCATTCTTCCGCCTGTTACACAAAATTTTTCTTCTGAAACTATGGTATAAACGTGGTTTTTAGCCGTTTAATCGAACGGAACGCGTTTCAAGCATCGATTACAATTCGTTTTTCTGTTATTTCGCCGTTTACACGTGTTTGGACGCCGTTTCAATCGAAAAAACCTCATGAGCAGACTTCCCAGATGGTCCGCATTTTGAGAGTTGTCTGCTTTTGCTGTTTTTCCCCTGCTTACATATAACATCTAAAAAAAGAATGTCTATCTATTGAGGATTCTCTTTCTCATCCTATTGTGAAACCAACACCAGCTCCAAACATGCACAAATTAGTTTCGTTTATATTTTCGATTCCGTGCAGTAATTCATACGTCGAAAGTGCATTTTCTTCCATCAAACATTTATTTAACGATAAAAGAAATCGTATGTCGACAGAAATGATTGCAGCTGAGTTAAAAAATCGCTTAAACTCATCGTTATCATGCACTGAAATTTATAATTATTTGTTATCACCGCCAGATCTGCTTAAACTTATTTATTCTAATCAAGAATATACAGTCAAAAAACAACGTATCAACTAAAATCGGGACTTACATTTCTGTTTGTTTTTCTCTTGTGTTTTATTGAATAAAACCACAAAGTACTAGAGAAAACTTTTTTGACTCCGTGTCGGCAGAGTTGCCAGCTAGGCGCCACAATCAATGCCAACACGGCGGGAAACCGCGTCGATTATGGCACTCCAGCTGGCAACTCTGTGATTGTGCGTGAAAACGATTTTTAATATAATATGAAAAATCATTATTTATAAAAAATAGTTTGAAAACATTTTTGTAAATAAAATTAATTTCACAAAAAATCTCTTCGAAAATGAATTCAAAAGAGGGTTTCAATTATATAATTTCCAATATTTGTTTAATCCTATGTTTGCATCAAATCTTCAATATTTCCAATTAGTTAAACCAAGTTCCTCGACCGCTACAGCCTGCACAATTGATCGTGGTCCTTCCATTACAACTTTTGCATCTAAATTTAAAAAGGTAATTTATCTATAATTTAAATTACCAACTTACAAGCAATATAAGGTTATAACCCAATCCAATACCTAATCTGCCCCGAACCAAGACACCTTGAACAATTAACAGTACGTCCAGAGCCATCTTTGGCATATACAGCGCCACTTCCACCACAATATTCCTCGGTCTCAGTCGCAGATGCTGCGTCACAGATATGTTTACCCTTTGCATCACACCCTCCACATCTCACTTGACCTGAGCCCCAGCAAATTAAGCATTTCATTTTAACAAGAACAAATATTTTTTTTGAAAATCTGAAAAATAAATTCTATGGTTACAATTAATTCGGATAGCGCACTTAAACATCAGACCATATTTTTTTTAATACTAGATCACATAAGTAGCATCATTATTTTTCAAATTCCACAAAGTATAATTTTACAATAAACCTTGCTAGCTAAATAGTAATATATAATTAAATCAACAATAACATTTATTTGATAGGAACTGAAGGAATTCTTGTGGGTTCGCTTGGATCCACTTTTGTAGAAGACACTTTGGACTATCTACTCATGTAAAAAGATCAATATGTTGTTCTTTTATTTCTCGAAATCCAAAGCGGTTTTCCAAAACCGCTCTTTGAATTCTTTT